TTTCGGAACGTTTCTAGAAGTTCTCTCTCTCCTCTCCACCATCACCGCAGTGTGGGCGGACCCTCACCATGTCTTCTCACAAGACTCCAGGATCAGGAGATTCCTGGCCAGGAAACCAAAGCGGGGCCGCCCCATTGCCCAGGGGAAGCGGATGAGAACCGGTACTTGAATCGCAGGCAGCTCCGAGGAGGCGGGCGAGGAGAACCGAGCCGGGCCCATACGGGATGGCACAGGAGCTGGCACACATATTTGCACCCTCACTAGAGCCCCACGTTCCTATCCCATCATTCTGCAACATCCCTACTCCGCTCCCTCAACAACCCCTACACAATGGACAGGTTTCACTGGGGGAAATGGTTTTCCTCTGTTACTGTGCCTCCGCACTGGTGGGTTGGTTCAGTAATACATGGGGGAGAACTTAAGGCTGGGAAAAAAAAAAAAAAGTCTCCAAAATCAAGTCCATCCTTTCACAAAATAGAAAAAGAAGGAAGCAGGCAAGAATTGGGGATTAGCGATGCTCCAGGGGGACGTTCCCCAGTGTCCACCAGGAGCACGTGCCCGCCGGGCTAATGGATAACGGCTGCTGGTAAAGGGAATGAACATCGGTAACTTGCCTGTGGCACTGAGGCACCAAAAGTCATTTCTCTTTGTCTCTGCGTTTGCTTTCTCAGATCGGGTCCCTATTTCTGTCACTGAATGCCTCACCCTTCCAGTCTCTGTAACAAACAGAAGGTTGGGACAACTTCTGCAGACGGATGGCCCCAGCAAGCTCCGGTGATAACGGAGTCCCAGATGCCGTCTCTCCTTTTCTAGATTGAAGTGTTCCAGCCAGAATTCTTGCCACCCATCTTCCACCTCATTCTCCGGGTTGTTTGCTTGCAAATTGGCTCGATTCACACCTTCTCGAATCCCGGGGCCGTCTGCAGCTGCTCCCATCTGAGAGGACCCCCCAGGACGTGCACTGAAGGGCTTAACCTGCCTGCTCCCACCATAACCAACAGGCAGCTCATCCCACATGGAGCAAATTAACCACTTCCCCAGCTCAAGTTACCATGCCACCTCCCGAGAAAGCTGCACTGCTCGTCAGTGTCCCTCCACGGACATTTCCAGGGGACTCCCACCCATTCCCTCAAGGGCTCGTGTTCACGACATGTTTATAGATGCAAGGCAGGTCCTAACCTTCAAGCTTTCACTGGGGCTCCGGCTCTCACTTGTAGAGAACCTCTCCCTGTTCCCACACCAGCTGCGGGGGACTAGATATTCACGTCCCCGCCGGCAGAGTCCCATGCTGAAACCCAGCCCCCCGGGTGCCGGAATTGAGAGGTGGGGCCTCTGGCAGGTAGTCAGGTCCAGAGGGTGGAACCTTTCTGGGGTGTTAGTGCCCTTAGAAAAGCAGCCCAAGAACGCCCCCGGGTCCCTTGTGCCGAGTGCGGACTCCATGAGAAGCCAGCAGTCTGCAGCCGGGAAGAGGGTCCTCACGCGACCCCGACCTCGCAGGTGTCCTGACCTCAGACGCCCCGCCTCCGGAACCCTGAGGTACCCGTCTCTGTTGTCCGAGGACCCCCAGGCTATGGCGCCGCCTTGAAGCAGCCAAGCGGAGTCGAACGCGCTCACTTCTCCCTGCCCCAGCCCCTCACACCTGCTCCTATCCCACACCTTCTCTAACAGTTTTTAAAAATGCTTGAAATAATCCTCTACCGGCCGACAAGCAAAGAACACCCTTCTCGCCTTTGCATTTGTTTACTTCCTCCCCAAAGCTCCGTTGGGACTGCTTGGCCACTTGGCCACTCCTCACCGACAAGACCCGCTCCGTCCCCAGGCACGTGGGTAGCTGGCACCCGGGGCAGTGTCCGAGCGGGAAGTCCGCCCGGGGCTGCGGCAGACAGGGGGGTGGGGGCAGATGAAGAGGACAGCAAGGGAGGGCAGCTCTTACTCGGCGGCCCCAACAGAAACTTCACTGTGCGCAGAACAAGCACAGAATGGATACAAAGTGGCTGGGACCTCAGGCCGATACATTGTAGACCCTCCCTGATCCGGTCTGTGCTCACGCCCGCAGATAGCAGAACTCGGGAGGTGTGATAAGACCCAACTCTTGTTTGTAAGAGTCCGACTTAGGAAAAACTAAATTTATCTCATTTGTGGACTTCTGGGCCGTCCCTACGTGCAATTCATTAAACAAATACTTGACGCATACCCATTATCCCAGGGCACTGCTGGGTACAGAGAAGACACAGAGTCCCAGCCTCCAGGGAGCTTCAGTTTAGCCGGAAAGACCATTCAACAGCAGGACATAGTGAAAGAGCGTGAAACGCGCCAGCCAAGGGGCCGGGTACCAGTTGCCAGGAGCACAGAGTGTCCGAATCTGCAGCCGGTCAGGACCAGGTGCTTCCGACGCCGAAGAAGGGCACACGCCAGAGGCTAGAGGTGAAGGTGAGGAGGGAGGCGGGATGCAGGCTGAGTAGAGACAGAGCACAGGACGACGCAGGATGTGCCATCGGGACCATGAGCCATGTGGTGACCAGGAGGTCGGAAGAGAGATCCCCAACGAAGACACGGAAGGAAGGAGGTGGAAAAGGGGGTCAGGCCCAGTCATGCCATGGGTACCTGCGGTGGATGACTCTCTGCCTTGGCAAGGACCTGAGCAAAGCTGCAAACAGGCAAAGAAGAGGACACCTCCCACGCAAGGTGAAGGCAGGAGAGCCAGCGAGAACCCGAGTCAGCTGAAGGAAGGCAGTGAAGGGACGGCCCGGCTTCGGAATCGGGGGGCTCCCGAGTCACTAGAGTAACTAACACAGAGAATGCACCTCCTGGGAGGTCTGACACACAGGACTCCGTGGTGCAGCAGGCGGTGTGGAACCCGCGGCCTGGAGACCTGCCGCCAGCCCACCCTGAGAGAGCCTTCCCCGAGCCTCGGGCAGACAAGGTGGGCGCCCGAGAGCAGAGTTCCGAAGTTAGGAAATAGATTCCGTGGCCCAATCTGCATTTTTCTTCTTTTTAAAAAAAAAAATATTAAATAGATTATACTATGCCATGCACATTGCCCGTGGAAAAAACAGTGGTTTGTGAAACATGTGCTTCGGCCACGGACATGTGCAGAGGGATAGGACGTATACGTGTGTGCCTGATCGACGCGTGACCTGTATGTGTGACCATGGGGTCACCTACCAGATCGCTGAAAAGCACAGGGCAAGACGGTCTGCAAGTTTCTAAGTTCTAAGATGTTCATGGTAGCCTTTAAATTCTACCCCACTTTACAGAGGCGTGAATCCGTCTAGATATGAATTCTGCTGTAAAATTAAATAAATGGTAGGCACAATTCAGATCTATCATCAGATGTGCCAAAATTGAATCGAACTGTTGATCCAGAGACTATACCCTTAAACTAAGTATGACAAGAGTCACCAGGAAATGACAACACCATGCCTACTCTGTAGCACAGCCACACCTGGACATCCAGGCCAAAGGGCCAGCCTCTGTCTGACAGGCTTTCGTTCTCAGGTAGTTATGCACACACAGGAACAATGGTCTACAGAAATTCTCACATCTTGGAACTCAAAGTAGGATTTTGATGGTTCATTTTTAAAAGATTTAATGCCAACCCTTATTCTTAACACCTTTATGAGCAGTACACTGCGGCAATGTACTGATCGTGTAGGACACAGAGTTTTGAAACCCTTTACTGGAACAGGCAGCTTTCGACGGCCTGTGGCTCCTGACTCAGTAGATCTGTACGTGATACGTCCTCATCTGCCCAAACCACTTTCGAGAAAGCATCCTCCCAATAAACTCCTTCAGGATTCCAAGAGAACACAGGCAACAATATGTATTAAATCCCAAAACCGTCCTGGGGACGAGGCATTTCTCCCAAAACGCAAAGGGTAATTTGGGAACATTCACACTGGCGATCCGCATAAGCCAAGCAACATATTTTGGGCAAAACCACGTAAGTGCCCGTTGCCAGAATCATGCCAACTGCACTTAACCTGAGGACTCTTTTAACGGGAGCGATCAGACGGCATTATAGACGTGATCTCAAGTCTTTCCCCCATCACTGCTCTGGGGTAGGTGGGGGAGAGTCACAAACACCCACAGGGAGCACAAACAGGTGGCGTGACTTGCGCACTTGCCAGGCGAGTTTCTAAGACGAGAAGAAAACTCCAGTTTTCTGACCCAGGTACCGGGTCTGCCATTTGGGCCTGGAACATCCAAAGGGCTCCCTCCATAAACACTTTCCAGTCCTGTAAAGGCTAATTCAAGGTCAAGCGAGTCGCCAGACCCTACCAGGTAAGATTCAAACTCATCCTGGGCTTGTTCCTGAGGCTCTGTGGGAGGTGCAGGGGACAGCCACCAGCTAGCTTCCTGTCCACACAGTGCCGGGGACTCTGCCCCTCCCCCCCAGAAGACAAACTCCACACCAAGCACCCCTCCAGCTGCCTCCGGGGCTGCCCACCCATGGCCCCTCGGAGCCCTTTACAAGAGGAGTTGGAAAGTCATGTCCTCTTGCCCCCGGATTATACACGAGAGGAGACCGAGGTCGAGAGGCTGTGCCTGCCCAAGGTCACTTCAGTCGGAGGCCCGTGAGGCTCTGGCCGCGGCTCACAGAAACTCAGCGCAAACCAAGTTGCTTCTGCCCAACCCTTGAGCCGCCCCCACGCCTCCGCCGGTGGGGACCAGAGCCACAAACGACCCAGCCGGTGGGCCGGTGGCACCCAGGCCTGCCTGAACAGGCTAATCCCCGAGTCTGAGCTCACCAGGAACCTGCGGGCTGGTGGGATTTGGAAAGGGGGTGGGAGAAGGCCGGGGGTGGAGGAGAAGAACGAATCCAGGGGGGCCCGGGGGCGGCGGGGGGGGGGGGGCCCACTCTGCCGGCGCACAGCCCTGGAGAGGAAGGACACCTCTCCCCGCGCCGCCCCCCAGGGGACCCCTGCCCGCCTCCCCTCCCCCCATCACGCGGCCGCAGGCCGGGCCTGGCGACCCCCTCGCCCTCCGCCCCGGCTCACCGCGTGCGCAGCGCCTGCCAGGCGGCGTCGATGTCGGCGTACAGGTTCTTCTCGGAGGGCTTGCCCGAGCTGACGCCGTAGCCCGAGTAGTCGTAGGAGAAGATGTTGCAGTTGATGCGCGAGCCGAGGCCGATGTAGAAGCTGCACATCTGGCCCAGGTCCACGGCGTTGCCGTGCGAGAAGAGCAGCGTGTAGCGGCTGGAGGGCGCGCAGCGCACGAACATGCAGCCGAGCCGGTTGTCCCGGGCGGTGCGCGAGAAGAAGACCTCGACGGCGTCCAGCTCGCGCTGCGAGTACTGCCAGTCGGCGCGCTCGCTCAGGTGCAGG